AGGAATTTAATGTAACAGCACAGTTGAGCTTTTCTTTTCCCACAACTGACCTTTAGAATAGCAAATAATCAAATCTTTGACAATGTAAATAAAACATTTTATGCGAGCAAGACAGAATCAAATGTAAAAGTGAGGGGCCTACTTAACAGCCTCAGAGCAAACCATCTGACAGTACTGTAATCAGATACCATCAAAAACACAGCCACAGGCAGATGGAGAGCAGGTGTTTAACTGATACCAATACATTTTTGTTCAGTAACACACTCCTGTGTATTAATGTACTCTATTGTACTCACGGCAATTAGTCGGATCACTTGCTCTGACAAGACTCTATAAAGTCATTGCTCAAGGCCAAGAAATAGTGCAGCATGTAAACTCCTGTAGAAACATGACTTTTAAGGGTTTAGTTACATTAGAGTGTTAAGTTCATTAGTGAGCTTTAGTGGTGTTGAAGAAGGATTTTGCTTTTCTTTGGACAGAAGTAATCTTTACGTTAATCTAAGCTAACGTCATCCTGGATCAAGCATGGAGAGGCATCAGTGCAGCGACGACTCTCTTAAAGCAAACGTATTCTGAACACGTCCAATTATTGCTTCGTTAAAGTAAATTCTTAATCTTGCATCACACATGATGTCCAACTGTGTTGCAGAGCTCTAGATCTAGAATCCAGATCTTATAATAACCACCTATAAATAGTGCTGCAGCTTCTAGGTCAGCCTCACACTCACATTTTCTGCTTTTTCAAAATGGCCTGCTTTATGGTGAACATCAAGGTTGGGAGTATGTAGGACAAAGTTAGACGGGGAGACGGGGGTCTCCTCTACGGAAGCAAATGAACCGCGTCCCTGGCCGAGTACACATTCACCCCCACCATTCAGTGAAATTCTAAATTACAGTTTTATGGGTATAAGGGTTGGACAGGGGAGGAGGCAATGTGACGTAAGATACATCGAGCTCACACCTGATGTTTTACCATGCACTGTGCATCACACCCTTTGTGATGGATCGATTGTTTATGGCCTGTTCCAGCACACAACACAGAACCACACATATAAAGACTTTCCAATTTAATTTCTTGTCTGTGTCATCAAAAATGGATGAGTGATTTTCTGATATAAGCCCACAAAAGACATACATGCTTCTCAAAAACAGTGAGCCTCACAAAATGACGCTGGTAACACCAGTAATGTTAGCATCTTGTTTTCCACTGATGTCTCAAGTTTCTCAACACAGGCCTCGCACACTGCG